TATAAGAATAAATAATATATATATATATATATATATATATATATATATATATATATATATACACACTCTTAGAATATTAACTTCTGATAAGTTCAAATTCAGTTTTCAGTGAGAAAACTATGTATAGTTATTGAGAACGCTTCTTTAGAATCTAATTAAAAATTTAAAAAGAACTCAATAATTTTATTGTCAAAAATATATTGACCATAAATATAGTTAGACTATAACATTTCAACCTTTAGTTGTTGAATGTTTCATCTTAATCTCTAATATTTCATTTTATCGTTGCTGACATAGACAACAAAAACTCTAAATAAATAAAAAAACTGTCATTTTACTTCTAAATAACTCAAAAAGAAATCATTTTGATTCTTGTTGATATAAAATGCCACATGACAAGCCAACAGAAATATGACGTGCCATTTAACATATCACCTCATCATCTATTAACGATATTACTAACATTTACTAACAGATTAACTAATTTGTAATCTCAATTCTTTCGAGATTAACTTATCAACACCTCACACTATCAACATTTTGATTTCATGTATTTTATTTTACTCCATAAATATTTTAATTTTAATTTCATTTTAGTCCAAAACATCATTTTAGTCCCTACATAGATACAAGAAAACATTTTTAAAAAAGAAATATTTGCATTATAATTTTAGGCGTCCCCAAACAATTTATTCTAGTCCCGATTGTCACGTGGTAGGCCAGGAACAAGGCTCGATACTTATCAGCCACCTTATCGTAAGTTAGCAGCATCACTAACATTTACTAGCAATTGAACTAATTTGATCAACAGAACAGAGATCCAGAGACTAATCTGCAAATCAATTCTTTGAATGACTTATTTGACAGTGGCTCACGTTCAACGACCAAAAGAGTAATTCACTTAACTACAAATCATAACACTCCACGGAACGCATTTGGAGGCATTTTTCTTCTAAAAACTCAACGAGAATTCCCGAATTCAACACCACCTCATCAAGCACATCCTACATTTGAAAAGAGTTGCTCATAAATATTGTTAGGTCCCAACATACTGTATCATTTGTTTGTGGAAAAATATATTTCATATATGTATATAAAAAGACTCGTTCGCCACTTGAGTCGTTAACCGTTATGTGATTTTCAACAGGATTAACAACTAAAATGACAAACAAAAGTTCATAAATTATATATTTAAATTCATGTTCCAATATAAACCCCTTCTTTTGAATGTATCTATGAACCCAATCCTTGCAAACAGGCAAGTTAGAATTACACGTATATGGTACAAAAGGCCTTGTACTTTCATGTAGCTGAAGGTATAATTTAATCATTGGACATTGGAGTATTGGATGTAATACTAAATTCTGGATATCATGTGAAAGGGAAAAAAATCAATAGATTTGTTTAAACATAAATCCATGACGAAAATTGAAAGCTAAATGGGCAAATATCTCACACCAGATTCTAGCGTTTGGGATTTAATTGCTAGTCCTGTGTCCCTTACCACCTGCCAAATCAGTAATTATTAAGTTATTAAAAGCATTAATACACGTATAACCATAAGAATGTACATAATAGTATTGGAAATAACTCAGTTGATAATATTTAAGCTACGCCCACGTGTCTGATAATACATGTACATGAAAATAACTATATGCCATGAGAACTCGAAAGGAGAGGAGGGGACCTTCATGAAAGGAAATCAATCAACCAACATTACCTGCTACTGTCCAGAATTCCCCAAAAGCCGTTCAACTGCTGCATGAACGTTCCCTGATGTAGCAATAAGAGCCCTTATGTTCTCTTGTGTGTCAAAGAACCCCATCTCTTGAAGCTGAGAAAGCTGGGTGGCATACAATTGCTCAGGTGGCTCTGATTAAGCAAAGAAGTCACGCAAGTAAGGGAAAGCAGTATAAAAACTATTTGGACAGAAGGCAACAGCAACGTAGTGTAAAATCTCTCTAGAAAATTACAAAATAAGTATGCTAACCATTTGATCTGTTAGGAACAGCCAGGCTACCAGCTCCAAGTCCACCAAACATGCTTGATAACATCTCCAGACCCAAGCTGTTGTTAATCGGTCCTACAAATAAAACCATTCAAAAGCAATTACGAAAAGTAAGCATAACTTTTGCATGATATCAAATGGCAATTGCATCATGCAGCAGCCACCGTGGAACCTATAACTTTCCCCTTCGTTGCTACTCTATAGATGCATGGGGCCCTTCAAGAGGTTGCACATGTATAAATGGGCTGAATGGATTTGGCTTGCAGCGCCTTAAATTTGTTTAGAAAGGATTTAAAACAAAGCCTTTCCTCAAGGGTCCACATTTTTTAAACACCCAGATCACTCTAAATCAAGTACCAGCATAGTTTATAGTAAAAGTATTAAAAACTTGAATTGTGAATGCAAAACCCCAGCCACAGAAAATATTCCAAAACAACTAACTGAAAATAGTTTCTACTACTAAACATAAAAATAAAAAATAAATAAATAATGCAGAGTTCTCTTGCATACCAGTGCCTCCACCTGTTTGACCTGGTTCCCTGAAAAAACATACCAGATTATCAGAAGATTAAGCAAGCAACAAAAATTAAACATTGAAGTTCAAGGGCATCAAATTGAAGCAACAACTACTTATTTTGCCACCAGAAAAGATTCCCATTCAAAGAGCATAATGTTTCGTGCAGATTTTTTTTTTTTTGTTGTTAGAAAATAAAGTTTAGGATGAAGGAAGGCTCTCCACAACTCAAATCACCAACCTCAATGAGGATTTTCAGTGGGATTCAAATTTCATATGGAAGAACCCAAGTCACATCTGCAATTGTTCTAAATAAAAGGTCAAGCTGGTGGTCAAATGTCAAACCCCCAGGGTTGTGTTTATGCAGATTTTGTTAACAGAAGTTAGTTGCTGGTTTAGTAAGAAGAATTGTAAGTACTAAAAGGCAATAGGTTAACATAAGTTAGTTAAATAATTAGTTGGTTGGTTAGCTCAAATAGGAGAGTAGAAGGTGATTCATTCCGTTGTGATATAAGAACTGAGAAATAGCTCTACTGTAAAACAAGGGGAAATACTTAGACAAAGAATTCTCCCCTTGTTTGTAAGTCAATAAACATTACCAAGGTATTAATTTCCTTCCTTTCACTGTTTTTTTTCAACTCTTTCTCTGAAAACTCGGTACCCAATTATGGGTTCCTAACGCAAAGTCAATGCATTACATGGAACTTTCTTTGGTACCAAAAGTTGGAGTGAAAAAAGGTTGTCCCATTCCCAGGAATGTTATTGGACAGAAATCTTATATTTCAAACATAGCATCTGCAATAATGATCAGAAAAGGAAGAACCAATAAAAAAATAAATTTTCTCTTTTAAGGATTGTTATTGAAAAGGAATCCAAAAATCTTGCATTTCAAGCATAGCATCTGTCAATAATGATCAGCATAAGTTAAAAACAACAGTGACTACTAATGGAAAATAATAGTACAGTTATGTGTGCGTTTAGTAATTATAAAGCAGTTATATATTTAGTAGCCGACTTACAATTATGCATCTCTCTGTTATGCATATGTTATGTCATTTTTTACATTCAGTGTGCACACTGATTGACAAAGGAAAACCCAATTAGGGTTTAGGCCCGTGTATTGCATATTGAGAGAAGTTATTCTCTGCGAGGAACTTTATCCTATGCTTTTCTATTGATGTCTGGCATCTGTTAAAACTTTCTTTTTCTTGGTTAACCCAGAAAAATATATTAATATCATTGCCTAATTTGTGGGTGCAATTCTAGAGTCTAACAGAAAATCCATCCAACTAAATATGAGAAATCAGATTCTGTCTAGAACTAAGCTCAGTTGTAACAGGTGTACAAAAGAGTATAGACAAAAATACAAAAAAACTAAATCATTAAACTATAGGATTGAAGCACTCGCACATTACAGCACAAATCTAGTTAGCAGTAATAAAAGGAAGTTCTTGTTTCTTTTCATGGAGTAATAAACAAAGGCATGTGAAAATAGGAATGCAAGTCCATTTCTTACTGTGTTGATTGTTGCTGACCAAGCTGAGACAAAAGAGCTTGCTGAAAAGACAAGAGTTGCTGCCATTGCAAAGAGGGCAATGTGGTTGTGAGAAAATTACTTAAAAGAGTGTCAATTATATTGACAAATAAATAATACAAAGTCTTCCTAATATTAGATCACATTTTAAAGAATCTAATTTTTCAATGCAATATATATATATATATATATATATATATATTTACACACACACACATATATATACATAACTTTAATCACAGAAACTCAGTCATTTTTAATTTTACCCCAACTCCTTAGCTAGGAGGCCATTATCCAACCATTTTATCTATGCAACACTCAGTACAGTTGGATCTGATACTCGTTATTAGAATTTATCACAGAAGAAACAAAAAAGAAAATAGCTGTAGAAACCTTCACAATTGACATTCTTCATACACTGTATATAAGCATATGACAGTTTTAATGTTGGACCACAAACTTATAGATCACATTTTAGAGAACCTGACTTTTTAATCCAAAAAATATATATCATAACTTTAATCACAGAAAGTCAAAGTCAATTTTTCCCCAAAATCCTTGGCTAAGAGGCCTTATCCAACCATTCTATCTATGCAACACTCGGTCAATTTTTCCCGAAATCCTTGGCTAGGAGGACACTATCCAACCATTTTATCTGTGTGACACACAATCAATTTTTCCCCAAATCCTTGGCTAGGAGGACACTAAACAACCATTTTGTCAATGCAACACTTAGTCCAGTTAGATCTGATACTCGTTATTAGAATTTATCACCAAAAAAAATTGCTGTAGAAACATTTACAGTTACCATTATTCATATACTATATATAAGTGTATGATTAAAAGTTTTAATATTGGACTGCATATTTATTAATGCACAGACATGTATGAAACCCAGTGATTTAGAATATAGAATATTAAATCAAATCGATTAGATGCAGAATCTGTCTACCTGCAGTGTCTCAGGTGAGGAAAACAGACGAAGAAACTCTGGGTTTTGCATCACCTCCCTTAGAGAATTTAAATCAGGCATGCCACGCTGTTCATTATTGACACCAAGAATCTAAAAGTAAATAAAATGTTAGAGATACCAGTTCAAAACATGAACTCATAGGCACAACAGTAAGTAAAATACCTGATTCATAGTCTGTGGATTGGAAAGGATACTTTGCATCATTTGTGAAATAGCTGGATTTTGCATTAACTGGGTCAACATAGCAGCATCTGGCATCCCACCCATCATGCCTTCAAGATCTGGCAGTCCAAGCCCTCCTAAGCCAGTGGGTGTCTGCTGTCGAGCATCCCCACCAGTAGTTGTTGCCCTTCTAGTGTTATTTTGGGCACCTCCAGCTGCAATATTCAACATCAATCAGGCAGGTATTATTCATAAGCTGATCAAAAATGTATTTGATGAAAAAGAGGCATTCAGTCACTGTATTTGAGGAGAAATACATGGTAAGTAAACTTACTTCCAGTGGCGGACCAAGGATTAGGAAGTGGGTTAGTATTAGGTACAGGGGAAGTTGCTTCAGAATTAGTAGTCGAGGGATTAGTTGATTGGTTCCTGACTGCTGCACCATCATTTCCTGTGTTACCCGCCATTGTAGTGGCATTTAAAAATGGTTCTTGAACATTTTCATACATGCGCCTCAGCATGTTGAATCCCTCGGGAGAAGATTCAATGTTGCTCATTGCTCTGTCTGTATTCCTCATCATTTCGCGCATGATCTCAGGGTTCCTTGTAGCTTCAAGCGTCTGACGAAGAGTGCTGGGATCATTAAGTATGTGTGCCAGCTCAGGGTTTCTATCCATGAGTTCTTGCATTTGTGGGTTATTCATTATAAGATTCCGCACTATCTCTGGATTATTTATCAAATTCTGCATGGCAGGCGTGTTCATTATATCTCTCACCAAGTTAGGATTTGATAAAAAGGGTTGCTGCATTTGTTCAAGGTCCGGAAAGCCCGCTCCAAATAAGCCATTGAGGCCACTACCCCCCATCCCATTACCACCAAGCCCGGGGAACAGTGAAGCTCCAAATCCAGGCCCTCCTAAACCCCCACCACCCTCATTAGCACCAACACCTCTCGTGTTAGTTGTAGTGGTATTGGCACCACTACTATTAGTCCCACCAGTGGTGTTGGAAGGAGCAAAGCCACGAACCAAGTGGACAGTGTGATCTGCCTCCAAACCTATAAAAACAAATACAAAGGTTAGTTAAATTCACTCATTAATGAACTATTTGACAAAACACTGCAGAATTTACTACTGAAGAAATCATGGCAGCATCAAAAATGATTTCCCATGTTTACGATTGTTCTCACTCACGAGGAATACAACCCATTCAGCATATAAATGTCCTCTAACACCTAACCCATACCTTGCTTTTACAAAACTTCACAAATTTCTCAGCAAATTAATCCCACGATATTGTTAACATCATCCACACAAATGCAAAAAATAAGGTTAATTACTTAATTCCATGTTCACAAAGATCTCTAGGGCAAATAAATAAATTACAAGAGACTTGGTATATGAAATTCATAAAATCATAACAAATTAAGAACATGCAACAAACCAATATAAAAACAAATAATATATCAATTATATACTAAACAGGAGCAAAATTGGGGCCGAAAATAGTTAGATTGTTGCTCGGAACAAATCAAAATTGACACCAAGGACAAGATCGGGTGGTTACCGTAGCTTTGGAGGGTTTGATCGTCCTTGAGGATCCGACCCTTGTAAATCAGACGCTGTTGATCGGCAGGAATGTCGCAGTTGCGAGCCACGATGTCCTTGAAGGATGCAACGGTGGAATCGAGGGTAATCTGAACGGAAAACTTTGAACCATTGGAGCAGCGAATATTGATGTTGACTCCGGCAGCGGCGGCGTTCGACTCCGTCGTGGCACTCTCAGCGGCGGCAGCGTCACCTCCCATGGCGTCCTCCGTCCAAAGCACGACGGGAGGAAAATCAGGTCCCGCAGTCCTGAATTAAATTGAAGGAGAAAGGGGATCGAAACCCTAACCCTAAAACGATTGCAGAGATATCGAATTTGGGAGAAAGTGGAAGCTGCGGATTTGAGAGAAGATAACAGAGAAATGGTGACGACGAAAAAAATAATTAAGAAAATTAAAATTGGGCGAGTGTTGCTGTGCTTATGCCATGGCTATGAAATCGGAAAATTAAAATAATAAAAATAAATAAAAATAAAAAAGGGAGAGAGAAGGACCCTACACTTCTTAACCCACCTAAGCCGGGAAAGAATCGATGTTGGTCTTTTTCAGGAAAGTTGGATCCACGTGCTCAACTTGCGCGTGACCAAACATGGTAACCGCCTCGCTACACTGTTATCCTTTCGCAACGCTCCAGAGGGTTATCGAGACATGCACGCTCTTTACAAAGCGCGTGAGGATTTTTAGTATCTAATTGTTGTGGGAAAGGTATATAATAAATACATAAAAATAATATAATATAAATATAGGATAATTGTGGAAAGTAATTGTTTTTTCTTTAGGAAAAAGATAAATCCACCCTGAATGGTAAATGCTGGTGTGGCTACTCTACCTAAATGCATGAATCGATGATTCATTTGTTTGCAAATTTCCAATTGCACATGCAATACCATTAATATTTATTTTTTGACAAATTTAAATAAAGGTGTCAAAAAGAATTTCGGTCATTCCGATTTTATTATCGACTAATAATAAAATATAGGGTTTAGACTTTATTTTGAGTTGAATTAATATGGATCTTTTAATTTGATACAGTTATAACTTGATTTATGCTAACTCAAAAAAAAATGTCAAAACTTAGAAGAAGAAAAAATAATTTTTATCCAGCTTAAACTTTATTTTAAAAATTCAAAATTGTTAGTCTCGATTTGTATTTAAGGTCAGTATCGATATTTTATTTGCATAGATAAAATTTATAAGTACAATTTTTATGTGTATTTAATGTTATTCTTTTATTAAAATTGAAGTTTTACCTCATTAATAAATGCATATCGGAGAATAATTACAATATCAACTACACTTAAATATATAAGTTTTGTCCAACAATAATCTTGATTCATTAAATATAAATATTAAAATATGAGGAGGAATTCATTTATTATAATAATAAGATACTTATATTTCGTTCAATAATTAATGTTTTATATTAAATTTTAACAATTTAAAATTTGAATTTAAAATTTTTAATGATTAAATCAAGTTTGCAGAATTTTAAATTGTATGGACAAGTTGTTTCTAGTTGTTTTCTATGTTCATGTATGGATAAGGTTGAGATACATGTGTATAAAGCGACCAATCGAGTAAAGTACTAAGTCAAAGACTTAGTCTTTAACCTAATATCGAAGGGACGTAGTACCTGGAAGGTAGTCGGTGGGCTAATGTCATAGGTGGCTTAGCGTTGTTGACTAATAACATGGTTGACTAATACCCAAGTTATTTTACTATAACAATAGTATTAAACTTCTTAGTTTAAGTGACAAAACTTGAGAAGTCAATATAGCTTATACTAGTCGCTGATTATAACTTCATGCTAATTATTATTTCTAACCACAATGTTAGTCGTTATTTTTGGTTTATACCAACCTTTATGATTTGATAGGATATAGTCATTCAAATTGCACCCTTTGGTTGTATGAGATATTCGTAGTTCATATGTATGACGATACATTCAATTGTTTATTGTTATTCATGATAAGTATGTTCCTAAAATTAAATTGATTCAATTGTATTATGTTGCAAGTTGTGTGTGGTGTAACTGATGAATAAATAAAGTGGTATGATGAAATGTTGTAAGTTGTGTACTTGATTTTGACATTGTGTTTATATGATTTCTTTTTATAAGCTTATATTGTGTTTTTCTTATGATTAGAACTATGATGATCATGATTCTTTATGAGAGTAAGACAATATTAATATGGTGACTTGTGTAGTTGGTGGTGAGTCACACTGGTGGTGGCTCAATTTTGTTGTAACTACTCCGATATAATTAGGTTTTTATGACTTAGGATCCTTTTGTGTACAATGTTAACTTTTGTGTATGTATTGTATATACATGTGCAATACTTGTAATTTTTTCGTCTCCTTACATATAATTGTGTTCATGGAAAATAACCCTTGTTACATGATATCCTTAGACTAATTGTATGTTGTTATATATAGATATATTTTCTGTTGCATAATTGTTTAACTGTAACAAGTGTAGTAATCTGACAGGTCATTACATTAAATTTTAATAATGTTTTAGACTATTTTTAGCTTCAAAATATTTTTAAAAATATGAAACAAAGACATTGAAAAATCATTTTCTATTTTATTTTATAAAAGTGATTATTTAATAAATATAATAATTATTTTATTTATACTCCATGTGAATGAATGTTTTTTTTTTATATATTTTACATAGACTCTTTTTTTTTGTCTATTATATATATATTATTTTACTTTAAAAGTGAGAAATAACTACTCACAATTTTTTAATGAGAAAAAAGAAATAAAATAATATAATAATTACTTTTTTTTAATGAAGGTATAAAGTGTCTCTCGCTAATTGTAATAAATGAAACCTCAAACACAATTCAATTCCCAATATATTTATATTATCGATAAATGACCTAAAGTTAGACTAACACTATACAAAATGCAATATTATACTATATAAAAAATGCAATATTGTAGGTGGTGGAGTCAATTTTTGTTTAGAATCGAAATTTTATTAATTATAGGTGGTGGAGTCAATTTTCGTTTAGAATTGAAATTTTATTTTACTAGTTAGTATAATAAATAATTACTTTAAATTTGTTTTAAGCATAATATTAGATAAATTTGTTTTTATCTTATCTTATACTATATACGAAAGGAATGTTCTTTTTGTAATAATTTTTCCCTATTTTTATGTATAAAACCTTTTACCTTTTATTTATACTAGCGTAAAAGAAATGCTCTCTCTATATATATTATTTTAAAACTTAAAAACAAAAAAAATGAAGTTAAGTAATAAAATAGGTGGTTAATAATTTGAGTGATTACAAGTGTTTACTTATTTGAATGATGAAAATATGAAAATAGAACTAACTTTCTATATTAATTTTATTATTTAAAGATTGAAGGATAAAATGATCTAAAAATAAAAATAAAAAGATAAAAATATTATAAGTCAATCTATCCCTTTGTATATAAGTATATATATATTTTTACTCTAAAATTGAAAACTAACTACTCATAAAATATTTTTTTATTCTTTAATGTAAGGAAAAAAGGAATTTAATAACTACCTATTTATTTTATTTTCAATGGAAGGACAAAGTGTCTTTTTTTTTTTTTTCCGACTAATTGTAATAAATGAAATCTGAAACATAACTTCATTCTCTATGATTAAATTATCAATAAATAACCCCAAATCATATTAACACTATAAAAAGTACAATATCATAAGTGGTGGAATCAATTTTGAATTAGAATCAAAATTTCATTTTAATAGTATGTGTAAAAAATAATTAATTTAAAAATTATTTTATAACCTTGTAATTTTTAAAAATTTTTTAATTTATCTACTAAAAAATGTTGGTGAATTTGTCAAATAAAACTCATATATTATTAAATGTCACATAAAATTTATTCACTAATATCTTGTTAGTATTAAACTCAAATGATGATGTTTTTTAATTCGTCATGACTAGTTACATGGTTGATTTTTTAAAATTATAAAAACTAAAAAATTAATTTTAAATTTAAAAGATTAAAATAAATTTATTAATATGACTGTAAATAATTTTATTAACTCTAAACAATTTTGTTAAATGTATCGAATTACGAAGGTAAAATTTGAATAACGATTAAAGAATAGAACAATTGCACCTATATATTTAAATTTTGTGGAATACACGTCTAGAAGCAACTTTGCGTTAAAAAAATTGAATTAATTTGAACAAAAATAAAAGCCAAACTAAACTTGCTATGACACTAATTTTGAAAGTAAATTATACTAATTTGATAAAAAAGGCAAATGCCAAGGGGAAACTAGTAAGGTATAAAACCGTGGTTTGCTGTTACGCTTGTTTGTGCCGCCCGAAATGAGCAAAGGTGGGTTTCATCAATAAGCGCGGTGAAGGTGAAGTGTTTGTTTCATGCTCTCATAATGGCGGTTCCTCTAAGAATGAACCACAACAAGCGCGGCGTGCTCGCTCGTTTGAAGACTCTCGTCAACTCTCAGGTGCATTAACACCACTCCACCCTTTTACTTTGGTTTAGACAATTTCTCAAACACATTGTGACCTCTGTTTTGAATTCTTTGATGCAGAGCTTCCACTCCCCTGCGCCAAAACGACCAAAGCAAGATCGACCGTCTCCCAAAGAAGACTTGGATTACTCTACTTGCCGAGGTGAAATCACTGCTTCTACGTTTTCTACTTTGCTATGCTCAGCACCTCTTTTCATGTTATGTTAATTTGTTTTTTCTCGTCGAGCCACTGTGATATTGTCAAGCAGAATGCACATAAACACTTTTGTAACGTAACTCTAATCTCTGATATTGAGGATAAGGGGCTAACTAAAATCAGCTTTTAAACCTATTGTCTGTATGACTTTATTCAGATACAAGTTAGAAGTGCTTTTGAGAGTTTTTCTGTTGGTAAAAGTTCCTTATTTTTAGTAAAGAAGCTATCAAAAGCTCTTTTAAGCTTATATTCAAACAGACTCTATGTAGAATTAGAAACCCATGGTAAGACTTTGATCACATGTATTTGAGACCAGGTTACAATTTTGAGTTGTTATTCAGGCCGCATTGACGTCTCAAATTGGAAGACTTTGGATGCAAAGGAGCTTGGTATAACTAGTTCTATGATTTCATACCCATCTCAGTTTGTCCTGAATCTTCTTCGTAGCAAAGGTGAGATTGTATTGTATACAGGCCTGTAAAATGTCCTCCTCCTCCTCTTATTCCCTAATAACGATAAAAGATGAGAATTGCCTTCCTTGCTAGTTTATTTTGTTTGCACCTCTGATCGTAGTATCTGAGTAATGTAGACACCCTGAAGTAATGAACCATTGTTTCAGCTTTGAGCGGGAGGAATTGCTAGTCAACGAGGTTAAATGATAATTCTGTTGAAATGTAGTGCATTGGTAGAGAAAAAGGACGGGAGAGAAAAGGAATTATCAATATGAGAAAGTTAAATTGATATGGTATGTACTATGTAATAAGTAATAACATGATACGAAATACTGATCTATTGGTCCCATTTATGCAAGTGATTAGGTACTATAGTAGTTCCACTAGTAAAACCTCAAACCATCAGTACAATGAAATGTTTAACCCTATGAAAATAAGAGAACGAAACATAAAACATGATAAATAGGAAACAACTCTTACGATTCCTTCCTCAAGTAAATAACTAATTGATCCCGATATATACTCTAAAAGCATTCTTAGATATTACAAACGTAACATTATAAAGATATGCTAACTCATTCTAATATAATGTTAAGATAATGTGAGATATACTCCATGATTTCCTTAATCTCCCCACCTTCTTTTATAAAGGGTGCTCACTTACACCCTGTTTGTTTGGGTATAAATAGAGTAAAAGGAAATAGGTAAGATGAGATAGGACAGAAATACTAATTCTCTACTGTTTGAAAGGATAAAAGTTATTTCCATGGGACCCACCAGATGAGATGATCTCTCACTTTTTCATTTTTCTTGTTTTAATTTCTTAGAAAACTACATAAATATTTTTATAACATAAAGGTTTTCTTTTATTTTTTTTAAACAGTACTATGTTATGGAAAATAATAATAGAGTGAAAAATTACATTTTTTATTTGTAAAAAAATATTTTTCATATAACTTATTTATTTATTTCTAGGCTATTTTTCACTCATCCAAGCAAGTGAAGAAAAATTCATCTACTTCTTTCTTTTATATCTTTATTCATTCAAATTTCAAACATTTTTTTCCATTATATTTCACTCCTAATCCAAACAAAACATTAATTCATTTGTGATATATATTCTGTTTCAAAATTTCATTTACCTTAAACTTTTCTGTATTTTGTTATACCCATATACCCCTGTTTTCTTTTTCAATAACTATATTCTTTTCATCCCTTATGAATCGCAGGGTTTGAGTCCTACTTAGTAGGTGGGTGTGTGAGAGATCTACTGCTGAATAGAACTCCAAAAGATTTTGATGTTATCACCACAGCAGAGCTTAAGGAGGTTTTATGACAATTACTCAATTTATCAACTATTAGAAATAAAACATACATTTTGGAGTGAGTTTTAGGACACTTATTCTTTCCAATTTATCTAACAGGTGAGAAAGCAGTTTCGTCGTTCAGCTCGTGCCGAAGTTGTTGGACGTCGTTTTCCAGTATGCTTGGTTCATATAAAAGGTTCTGTTGTTGAGGTTTGTCCATTGAGTAATCATGCAAGATTATCTTTGTCTTTTTTAATCTATAAATTTCATGTATGATTTAATGTGCACTTCATTTGGAAATTCTTCTTGGATTAACATAAATCAATCTATTAATTTATTTATATTGTATCAGGTGACCAGTTTTGAGACAGGCGCACGAACTTCCAAAGGGAAGGAACAATCGTTATACACCCTGTTGCCCAAGTGCAGTAATAAAAAAGACTTGTTTCGCTGCAAAAACTCCTTGCGCAGGGACTTCACAATTAATAGGTATTGTTGGAGATTTTTTTTATAGCTTGTCGAACTATTTGTTTTTGTGCATAATTTTTGTTTTAAACATTTACTTTCTCTTTGAAATGAGGATTCAGATTATGTTGCAAAGGTAGGAAGTTGCAGTAACAAGTATTAGTTTTTATCTTTGATATTTATTAATCTTCTGTGTTATTAATCCATTTCTGATTGTGGGAGCAGTTTATTTTATGACCCCTTTGCCAATAAAATCTACGATTATACATGTGGAATGGCCGATTTGAGGTCCTTAAAGGTAACTCTTTATGTGTTTTGTTAACAAATGTTTACACCCCAGGCATGAGTGTAACATGTAAGTATGCTAATACATAATTATGCTTGGTGATTTGGGTTCAGCTAGAAACTGTTATCCCTGCTAAGCTGTCCTTTAAAGAGGATCCTGGTAGGTAACATCATACTCTAATCAGCCTTGAAATTAGGCATTCTGACAATGATTTGCATCCACCAAGATAATGAAGTCACATGTAAAATCTGCCTGTAGGAAGAATTTTGCGTGGCTTCAGAATTACAGCTCGGCTTGGTTTATCAATATCAACGGAGACTGAGGCGGCAATCTGGACATATTCTTCACTAGTTAAGAGCTTGGACAAGGTACCTCAATTGAAATTTAATGATGGTGGTATGCTGGTCTGTTTTTGGCATAAGAAAATTTCTATCATCTTATAGCTTTAATGGTAATTCTTTTTGTATCTGTTGTCCACAGGTTGTGTAGAAATTCTTCCCTTTTTATTGCACTTCATTTGTATCCTTGTCATTGACAGTTGGAAAAAAGTAAATGGATCCATTTGACAACATACTCTTAAGGTTGTATTTTTGGAAATTATTGAAAAAAATTCAAGTCTCACATTAATTAAAAATAGTGTCAAAATATTGTACACGAGTGGGGAGACAATCCTTATCCTATGGCCTATGAGCTATCTTTTGGGGTTGAATTAGCCCAAACCAAACTTTAATAGATAACAAATTTTTTAGTCTGATCACTCACCTTGCTTCCTTTTTTTTTTTTTTTTTTT